CTTCTGCTTGAGAGGCAGTAGGTCAAACCATTAGGCTACCACGGCTTCATTTTCATTAAAATTTGTTTAACGGGGTAAAATTTTAAAAGTGGACAACCTGGGTTGTCCATGTAATTTATAGGTACTCTGTTAGTATCCCTTTTCAGTATACGCGAGAAACTTCGCTATTCTTTTTTTTTATTCGCTTTCTACGTTTCCAGCCAATTTTTTTGTAATATTAACGCACACACTCAACACAGCCCCGCAATAGAGAAACCCTATATCACAGGTGTCATGGGTACACACATAGATAATCACAAATTACACCCAAACTCACGAGAGAAATAAATGTAGTCAATCAATCAATCAGCCTATTGTAGTCCACTGCTGGACTTAAGCTTCCCCAAGTGTCCGCCATACTGCCCGATCAGCCGTTTTCCGCATCCAACCACTACCCGCGAGCTTCTTCAGATCATCGGTCCATCTTGCAGGGGGACGTCCTATGTTATGTTTGCCGAGACGTGGTCTCCACTCAAGAACCCGTCTACTCCATCGCTCATCGGTTCTGCGACAGATGTGGCCAGCCCACTGCCACTTCAACTAGCTACCTTTCTAGATTATGACCACAACTTTAGTCTTACCGGATAACTTCGTTCCGGGCTTTGTTCCTTGGATAAATAAGTGTAGGCCATACAAATATTTCTCACGGCCCGGGGTCGTCGGAATCGAACCTGGGACCTCTGCGTGGCGGTTCGGCATGGTAACCGTTCGGCCACCGAGGCAGTTTAGCAGGAGGACGTCAGTTTATATATATGTCAGGTACTCCCTTTCAAATTTGATGAGAAACTCTGGGCGCCAGTATCTGGTTAACGTGACTTTTCCAGACCTCTCATACATTTCCAGCCATATATATATCAGTCTGTTACCTCCATTCGGACACCACCTATACCTATGGGATACCTTATTGAGGTTCTCAACAGACTGTATTTTTGTGTGTATACGTTACGCGACTACTCCGACTCCATTCCTTTTTTGAAAAGGGTTATCTCAGTGGTCGTCCCATTTAAATTTGATGAAAATGTTCCACCTCTAAGGGTAGCAAATTAGAAGATGAACCTGGTTCAATGGAACCTGGTAAAGTCAGCAAAACCTGGCAAATAGTTATAATTCCAGTTTTCAAATCAGTTTTATTTTAAGAAAAAGAAGAAGGAAAATAAGAAATTATTTCGAATTAAAAATTGTGCGTATTTGTTTTTTTTTAACAATGTTTTGAGCTCTTTATAAGACCAATGATAACGGCTATAGAGATGGTATAGTCATCGCTATTATATATTAAGCGATTATGTGTAGAGAAATATTAATGGAATACAAGGGGTTTATAAGCGTTGTAGGATTCTGATAATTCCTTCCATTTATAATAACTGCCTCCGTAGCCGAACGGTTACCATGCCGGACTGCCACGCAGAGGTCCCAGGTTCGATTCCCGGGCGGGGAGAAATATTTGTATGGCCTACATTTATTTCTTTCGTGAGTTTGGGTGTAATTTGTGGTTGTCTATGTGTGTGTCCATGGCACCCGCGACCCAGGGTTTCCCTAGTGCGGGGCTATGTTGATTGTGAGCGTTATTATTATAATTATTTATCACGAAAATACGGACTTACAATTTGGATCGAAGATGTTCGTTAAACAGGAATTCATAGGAAGTGAAACTATTTTTCCGGATTTAAATTCGTACATTTGTTTATTCAAACAAATAAATTGAATTAAATTACGTGTCTTAAATCCTATGTGTAACAATTGCGAAAACCTAAAAACTCGAGATCTATTCATACTTTTATTCTGTTATATATATAAATAATTATTTTTTAGTCAAAACTGCCAGTTATATTTCTTAGTCTTGAAAGGATTATTGTTTATTTTTAAAAAAAAGACAAATACCATTTTTTCAGATCTCAATCGCGCTTATTTGTTTTTTCAAACAAACTAAAAGTTTGTCTTTGTTTGTTAACCGTGACCATGGGACCTGTATATAGCCCGAAACGTTGGTTTGTTTGAAAAACAAATACATATACGTGAGTTAGATCCAAAAAAATAGATTAATGTCCTATGTGTAACAATCGCGAAAACCTAAGAACTCGAAAAAAAAGACAAGCCTTATTAGTATTTCATTCAGTACCGAGAGACTGAAAACAAAAGCGCGTTTAAAAACCTAGTTTTGAGAGAACTTTTAATGATCAAGGCAGCTCGGAATGAGGACATTTCGAAATGAAGTGTCTACAAAGCGCAGTAGTAAAGCTTTCGTTATATCGTTTCAATAGTAGAGTAAAGCCAAGTGTGGTGTGTAGTGCTATCTAATGCAAGTGCTGTACCGCTCGTAGCCAAGAATGCCTGCGGGACCGTACGCAGTCTTCGTTAGAATGCATTAAACCATACTTGAGTTGAGGCACTTGTTCATCATTGTATACAATACGTATTTTGAATTCATGAGATCGTACTAATAGTTAGTATAATAAGTCATACGTCTAAAGTGCTTTTGTGACATGAAAGTTATAATCTCAGTACAGAGTACCAAAAAACCGACCTTAAAAGTAATTCATCCCCTAGTTTGCCACCCCTAGAGGTGGAAAATTTTCTTCAAATTTAAATGGGACCACTTGTGAGGTACCCTCTTACCAACAACAAAAAAAAAACATGAAAATTGGTTCACAAATGTTTATCGCGTAACATACATACAAAACAAACATACAATCTAATTGAGAACCTCCTCCTTTTTTGAAGTCAGTTAATAAAATAATACGAAAGACCTGAAACAAATTACGTATACATAATGTATTTTTTTTATAATACCATGTGACGGGATGACCAATTGCGCCTGGTGATAAGCGAGACGCCTATTCATAACAGTTGCAGTGCCACTCAGAGCTTTAAATCGCCACTATGTTAGGGGCACTGCCACCCTAACAAGTCCCATTTGCCTGTAATTTCACCAGCGCCCTTCCAAACCGGAACGCAGTAATGCTCACGTTACTGTTTGACGGCAGAAATGGTTAAGGCGGTAGTACTTCCCTGGACGTACTCTTTCACAAGGAGCTCCTCTAAAACTGTTTAAAAATCTTTAAAACTTTCTCCTGAAAAGTTGTTACACGGATGCAATGGAAACAATATTATTTTCGAATTTATTGTCCAAATGTTGATTTGTAAAAGTTAAGTTGAATTTATTTATTTACACATATCTCTTCAATATTTTTTTATTTAATAGTATATGGCAGCGACACCTATATGCTCCGTGGCGACACTAACAGTTGACACTAGACTATTATTCCGAATTTACTACGTGACAATAAAGACTCAGCATGTTTAATATATTTTTCTTCATGAAAACGCGGTAAAATAATTGAAAATAACGTACAATAGTTTTAATAGATTTCATTATTACATACTTTTCTTTTTTTGGCAGTTAAAATTCTTTGAATGTACATTATGTACTTAAATATTATACTACGATTAGACGTTTCGGAACGTCAAAAAAGAAAGAGATGACATTATATAGTTCATATAGCGTTATTTCGTTCCTATTTTTAGTAAGAAATAGACAATATCGGGAAATCATTCGTTCTTTCAGTTACTTTAGCAATACTATATTTCTTGGTTGATAGGTTTGTCATGGTACGAATATGAGTAATATTACAATAAGCTTACAATGTGCTTACATTGAAATAAGAATGTTTTTTGAATGTTTCTTCGGATAGCCAAACGTAGTTTATGACGGAAATAGTCGTTAGCGTTTTGGGCACCAAAGGCTCCAACAGGGCGAAATGAAAGCTCCCTATAGAGGGGTGTTAAATGGGGAAGGCAGATATAGATGGCAATATAAATTTCAAACCTCGGTGATTCAAACGTTGGTATTAAAATTAATGAACGAACGAACAAGGTTCAAACGTTGGTATTTGCAAGTCAAAATTTATGACTTAACCAACAAAACAGCTCTCGTAATCATAACTCGACAAAATGTTAAGAATACAAACAATTAGACTTGAAACATATTTTAGTAATTTTCTTGCTTTTATTTTAGTGTCTTTTTTGTCATCAACATCATCAACCCATTTATACGTCCCACTGCTGGGCATGGGTCTTCTTGGCCTAATGCGGGTTGGGGACGTAACGGTTTTGCAAGGTTTGTGAATCCTTCGTCGTGCAGATTTCATTACTATGTTTTCCTTTACCGAAAAGCTCAAGGTAAATTTCAAATTACATTTCGCACATAAATACCCACGGATTCTGCTTGTGAGGCAGCAGGTCTTAAACTAGGAAATTTCCTGTACTACCAGTGCAATGTAAATAACTCCGGGTGCACCGTTCGCAACAATAACACTACTTTAGCAAGCTGTAATGTGAACATTGTTGTATTCCGGTTTTGAAAGGTAAGGGTGCTGGTGAAATTACAGGCACATGGGACTTGTAAACTTATGTCACAGGGCGACGGGCGCGGTGGCAGTGCCTCTTAGATTAAAGCTCTGAGTGGCACTGCAACTGTTATGGACCGGCGTGTCCCTTACCACTAGGCACACGACTTGTTCATTCCGTCACTTGGTATCATAAAAAAATTAGCAGTAGAGCTCCCTGTGACTTACTTATGTTACATATTTCTCCCGCCAAGCAGTAGAGCGCTGGTAAAATTACAGACACATGGGACAGACGCAGTGGCGGTGCCCCTAAGATCTTTGCGATTTAAAACTCTTGAAGCTCTGAGTGGCTCTGTAACTGTTGTGGATAGGTGTGTTGCTTGCCACCGTGATATGTATCTTTGACTACTCCACATAAAACTCTGTATACATACATGGTGAAATTTTTAAAATACTAAACCTTGTTTTGCATGGTTCTCTTGGACCAATGCCGCAAGTTGCGTATAGACGTTTCCTTTGGACTATCATCAAGCGAACCAGCAGTTGTCAAGCGCACATAATGCCAAACGGGTCACTGACCTAAGGTCATAAAAAAATTGATTCAAATTGCATACTTACAGTGAGCAATAAGACTTCTGGGGAAGTTGTAGCGCAGTAGTTCACGAGAGAGCTGGCAGCGGGAGAAGGTTTTGGCGTGGCCCTCAGCAGTCTGGGTCATGGCCAACGTCACGAGAATTAGCAGCAGTTCTGCACGGACCATGGTTCCTGTGAAACATTTACTTAGTAAATTGTGCTCGTTAATCACAGCAATTACCTGGTCTCAAAGTAAGAAATTTCATTTACCAAATAATTGTGTTCAAGATCATTTTAAATTAATATCAATTTGAAAAGGTCGTTTTCCAAAATTTATTAATTGGTATTATATGTAGCGAATCGCAGCAATCGCTACAAATCTCCTTTGTATATATTTTGTATACCCTTTTTAAGTTTAGTTTTTTAAATTTGAAATTTGAATGTGATTGTTTTTGGCGCCTTTTCTGACTTGTTTTCTGTTTTGCTTTGATAGCTACGTGTTTTCTAATAAATTATTAAGCTGTAAATGCTATTGCTTTGGTCTGGCTCACTCGTTGTTGTAAATAAAGCTTTACATTTGTTTTACTTGTATTGTATTAGATTAATTTATATTGAACTAAATTTATCTTTATCTTATGTATCGGTCTTTATCTTTACATATATTTCTCTCAAGAGTGTGGGTGTCTATGTGTGGTTTTCACTAGCGCGGGGCTATGAGTGTGTGCTTTATTACAATTATTGTGGTTAGGACAAGGAAAACTTAAAACTTGCATACTATTATGAAAAAGTACAAATTTTCGCGTTTCACTTAATTTAAAGACAAAAAGGGAACGTTATATTTCAAATCAATAGTACATTTCATTAAAAATTTTACAAATTGATGACAAAGAATTTAAGAGATTATGTAAATACATGGTAAATACTAATGTCATAGCCACAAATGCAAAGTTTCAGAAGTATAGCTAGAAACTACCTTTTAAACACAACCTTTTAAAAAATTTGTTACATAGTTTAATTGAATAAAACTTTGGATTTAGTAGTTACTCCTCATATATTTTACTCTATTATGTAAGAATATATAAGGACAAATTTTGGGGATAACGTGACTAAATAATGTACATAAATTTAAAATTGAAACGGCCTAGAATGGTGCTTGCAACGTACTTTGTGACGGTAGTATCACCGAGGGGACTATTTCCTGCCAGATATTTTCTTTCCAGCTTTAGACAGCGACTGTGGATCTCTCGTAAGTCCTAGAAACAATGCAATGCTTTGTAAATTATTTGTTCTTACAACTAAATAGTATATACAATGCCTTTAATTGTACATTCGCTGCTTGAAATTCACGGAGATTCGGTAAAATTTCATAAACATTTCCTGAAATCGGACTGGTTTTTGTTGAACGTGCTTCCTTAAGTTTTTATTTGTTTGGTTGTTATTTTGGCAAGTTGTATGAAATTGTCGGTTTTTGGGCTCCCGTTTAACAAATTGAGCTGTATTTGCACATGACGGATTTTTTCTTATGCATTGTAGAATATACTAATGTTAATAATAGAATTACAGGCACTTGGGACTTGTTAATTTATGTCTCAAGGTGACACGTGTCTTAGGTTGCGATTTAAGAGTCGTTACTTCCTTGGTTCAAGTTCAAAATTTTCTATTATATTATGTATACTGAATCGGTTCTATAGCGCGGGTCGAGTGGCAGGGACACTGGTTTTATTTCAGAATTTATTTTCTTACAAACGAAATTAAAACCACTTGAAAAATGTTTATCGCATACCATATGTATTCTATTTAGTTTAGTTGATATAAAAAAACATTGGCACATGTAAAATTTCGAGGTAAGTTTGTGTTCTTTTTTGTATCGTGAAAATTTTTAGGACTCGTGTTTTCACACCGTGTACTCATCAGTGTGTATCCTCAATTTTACTATATATTTTATTCAAATCAACGAAAGCCATTTGACGCAACTGCTATGGACAGGCGTATCACTTACCAACAAGCACACGATCTGTCCGTCCCGTCGCAGACTCGTCACTTGGTATTATAAAAAAAAAGTATGATATTTGATAAGTTTCGGTACAAAGCAAAGAAACATTATTTCTTTTTAAATATCAAATTTTAATCACACTCTCAAGTTCTTTTACTGATATTAATAACATTTTTAATGCATAATACCATAAGAAAACTAAAAAAATAAAGTAACAACGTGAATAGCGACATCAAAAGTCAATATTGATGCCAATTTTTCGATTTTAAAACGAACTTATGAACTTTATTTTCTGCCATATTGAAAATGTTCACAACTCCTGGTTCATACGGAGAGGTTGCGCGAATAAACAAGGAGTCTATAATAACAAGCGACGAGTAACAAGAGATTCGTACAAAGGAGTTTTGCTGCTGCCGTCGTCGACTGCAACGCAAGATGCATAATTGACGAAGTACTTGTATAACTTAATGCTCTATTTATGATTATTCTCCTTTTGTGTGGTTTGTACCTAACTATGGAGTTCGTGTTTTTATCAAATCTCAAAACATCTCACTAAAGTCATCAATCATTTTTCATCAAACTTTGTAGAGTGCCTGTGCCAGTGCCAGACACGACTTGGTAATTTTTTCTTCTTCTTTTCATTAAAAAAATAGGCATACGCCAAGTCTTCAGTACAATATTTAATTTAGAGTGACGTGTTCAGTAAAGAGTTTAATTTTTAATAAGAAATTTATATACAGGGGAATACATACCGATAAATATATACTGAAAAAAGACACAACTAACATTTTTATAAAAATTGTGTTATGTACATACGCCATTACATCAAGCTACACATTGACGAATCTTGTTCCGTTGTACTCGAGGCGATTTTCGAACAAAAATGTGTAGTCTGATGTGCCGTTGCACGTACTTAGTCAGGACCAGGAAAAAAGGGCAATGATTGTTGAATATACACTAAACTCAAAGGTCACAACTGCATCGGTAATTAGATTGTCTACCATAAAAAGTCATATTTGACGTTTTATAAGTTAAAAATACTAATATCAAAGGATTTATTATGTAACGTATGGAACTGTACCCTTATTAACCGACTTCAAAAAAAGGAGGAGGTTGACAAATTGGACTGTATGTTTTTTGTATGTATGTTACGCGATAACTCCGGTCTTTGTGAACCGACTTTCATGATTCTTTTTGTTGGAAAGAGGATACCTCCATAGCGGTCCCATTCAATTTTGAAGAAAATTATCTACCTCTAAGGGTGGCTGTTCACGCATAAAGATTTATTTTTATAAATAGCGCCTAAATTTTAGCATAACGAGCAATTACTTTAATGATTGATTTTGCTATTCTTTAATTCAAGGCGTTTTTCTCTCTCTTAATATACTTTGGGTAGTGAGAAACGATTTTATTATCTCCTGTGTCAAGTCCCGTATAGTGGAAAACTAGGGGATGAATCCGGGTTTGCGCACTTTCCGTTAACTGATTCCGATAAAACTTGATAATCATGGTTTTTTAGTACTCTGTACCGAGATTATTAAGCTGGCTACACACGGGCCGTGTCGCGCGCCGCCGTGGGGACAGTGTCGCTAGTGCCGCCGGCGCGTCAATCGACTTCAAAAAAAGAATGTACGTATGTTAAATATTCCGCTCTAAGTGTGGCAAACTGACTTCAACCTACCAACCGGACTTATAGACGTAATTCCACGAAATTTTTAGGTCGGTTTTTAATAAAAAAGTTATAATTATATTATATTATATATTATTGTATAAAAATACAAAAGTTTTCTGAAGATGTAGGAGGACTACTTGTATTTAATAATGACATCTAAATATAACAATTGAAACTGTTGAATATATTTTCGATTCTCATACGTGTCTGCTCTCAGTTGGTCTTATTTGTTTACTTTTTGTTAATGTGAAAAACCGATAGATTTTAACTCTGGCGGCGACGCAATCATTCTCCACGTCTGCTCACAAAGGGATTTATTACATGATGAAAAAATCAGGATTTTGTAAAAGTTATCCGAGTAGATGTGGTTGGGTGTATAAAAATTTCACACAATCTCTAGTAAACATATTACACTTTGTACTGAGAAAAAAATGTTATTTTGAGAATTTAAATTTTCCTGAATTAGTTTGTTACCACAGACCACATAATTCTTCCGTGTTTGTTACACTATAAATAATGTAATATAACAATTTGGGAGTAAACTGATTACATTTTGTGTAAGCAAAATTGGCGAATACTTGTTTTTTTTTTTCAAAATTCAACATGATCTCTAGATAAAGTTGTAATTGTTGACAATTTTTTTGGTTAATATACATATTTTTAAAATTTTTGATATTTATTGCAATAAAATTTGTTAATGCACTATTTCTTAATTAGGAATTAATTATAATAAATATATGAGTGCTCAAATATTTGTTTGCATTGGTATTATTGCCATAGACGGCGAAAAATTCACGGATTATCAATTAGCCTTTTCTGTTTCTAAAAATCATCACACTCAATTTTGTAAATGCGACTTACGTTTTTAATTAGAGGCTTTTCTTTTGTTATTATAACGGCATAATCTTGACAAGGTCAAATATCTCGTTAGATGGTGAAAATTTAAAGAGATATGATTCTTGTAAGATCATTTGATCTTACAAGAATCATATCTCTTGATGAGTTCGAGAGAAGGGAGAATGTTTCATTATTATTTATCAGGACTGAATTTTCCAAGCAATTATCTTTATTACTTTAAAGGGTAATAAATTATATCTGTAGATGTAGCGAGAGGGTGCTTCACTGGTACCCACGTCTGAACGAAGGCGGCCGCGCCGACGTCCTTCCAGGACGACATCACCCAGTAGGACTAGCACGATAAGGCGCGAATAGCGCGAGAGCGACATAAAGCCCAGGACACTGGTATTCTCGCATGGAGATCTCGCCCTTTATGTCGCTCTCGCGCAAGTCGTGCCTTATCGTGGAAGCCCTACAAGTGACGGGAGTAATGTGAACGCGACTGGCTGCGGACAGGGATGAGTGGCACAAGATGGAGGAAGCGTGCGTCCAGAGATAGGCTTTCCAATAAATTTTGAATCGTATATTTAAGTTCGGAACTATAATTATCTAATTTTAGTTTAGTTTAGTTTAGTTTCGTTTCGTTTCGTTTAGTTTAGTTTAGTTTAGTTTAGTTTAGTTTAGTTTAGTTTAGTTTAGTTTAGTTTAGTTTAGTTTAGTTTGGTTTGGTTTGGTTTGGTTTGGTTTAGTTTGGTTTAGTTTGGTTTAGTTTAGTTTAGTTTAGTTTTAATTTTGCTTGTTTTTGTATAAGTGAAATATTGTTTTTAAATATTTTTTTGGAATAAAAGCTCATTGTTATTATTATTATATCGCACCTCTCGTGGAGGAATGGCATAAGTGGAGTTACGTCAAAAATGTTATTGCTCCATTAGATACATAAAAATGTAACCCTCTTAACATACTCTCCAATTCTTTTAAACGTTATTTACAATATTAGTCGATAGACTTACAAGAATTGGAGCGGATGTGGGTTATATTTTAAGTAACTCCACTTATGCTATTCTTCCATAGGGGGTACGATATATCTTCTTCTTCGTGTTCTTGAGGTGCCATCTCTTACCGGATCTCTTACTGTCCTTTCGGCTATCACTAGGGCTATCTGTATTTTAGACACAGCTGTGCGGAACAAAGATCTTGTGTTCTGGTTGAACCATGTCCGGAGATTTTTAATCCACGAAGTAGTGTTATTAGACAGTACTCAAGACCTCTAATTTCTTATTCATCATCTGCAATACTCTTGAATTGGACAATCTATTCGTCCACGATATTTTTAAAATTCTTCTGTAGACGCACGTTTCAAAGGTTTCTAAGCGGTTCCTCATATTTCGAGTTAGGGTCCAGGAGTCTACGCCATACAGAAGAAATCTTCAAGGATTGATTGCAGAGTAGATGACTCAACTTTAGAAATGTGTTACGTGCTTGTTCTATCCGACATTTGATCTCCACGCTATGATCACATTATTAATAAATTATATAATGTGAAAATATCACAACTTGAAATTTTATTTTGCGTATTCCCAAAAAGTGGGGATTTTGTGTTTGGTCACTTATACTAAAGGTGCGATGTGAGCATCGAGTACATAACCAAAGATGTGAGTCTTGTAACGTTGCTAGTAATTTATTCCGACATTTATAAATGAAATGATAACTTAATGAAAAACAAATCCAATCATTTTGGCTTGGTTTTAATT